AGATGCTGGAGAGGATGTGGAGAAATAGGAACACTTTTACACTGTTGGTGGGAGTGTAAATTAGTTCAACCATTGTGGAAGACAGTGTGGCAATTCCTCAAGGACCTAGAAATAAATTCCATTTGACCCAGCAATCCCATTACTGGGTATATATCCAAAGGATTATAAATCGTTCTACTATAAGGACACATAGACATGAATGTTCATTGCAGCACACAGTTTACAATAGCAAAGACCTGGAAACAACCCAAATGCCCATCTCTGATAGACTGGACAGGGAAAATGTGGCACATATACACCATGGAATATTATGCAGCCATCAAAAACGATGAGTTCGTGTCCTTTGTAGGGACATAAATGAACCTGGAAACCATCATTCTCAGCAAACTGACACAAGAACAGAATATCAAACACCACATGTTCTCACTCATAGGCGGATGTTGAACAATGAGAACACATGGACACAGGGAGGGGAGCATCACACACTGGGGTCTGTTGGGGTGAAACAGGGGAGGGACAGCAGAGGGTGGGGAGTTGGGGAGGGATAGCATGAGGAGAAATGCCAGATATAGGTGAAGGGGAGCGAGGCAGCAAATCACACTGCCATGTGTGTACCTATGCAACAATCTTGCCTGTTCCTCATATGTACCGCAAAACCTAAAATGCAATAAAAAAATAAAATAAATAAAATAAAAAGAATCAGAACCTCTCCAGGTGATTCTGGAATATGCTGAAGTTTGAGAATTAATACTAGGGTCAACCGGTGCCAGGGAAGCTATCTGGGAGGTGGCATGATGTCAACTCTCCTGATTGTCTTTGAAGTACTAACCAACAATGTCGGTTTGTGTGGCATTTGGTGACATTCCACAATAATGAAGTCTATCTCAGCTTCCAGGTTTTGCATATTTCCCTAAACTTCCTTTTTCCACATGGAAAACTCCACTTTCCAATAGATTTGGATACTTGGAAAACCCCTTCAACAGAGAGTAGAATCCTAGATGTCTACAAGGTTGATGAAGATGAGCCAGGGAGAAATGAGTTTGTGAAGAAGTCAGATGAAGATTTCCCATAAAGGCAGGGCATGCATGGGACATAGGGCTTTTGTTACGCCAGCATGTTAGCACACTCCTGATGTAAAGATCCACACACTTCAAGGATTAGATTTTAAAAGACATTTCACTGGTCAAATTAGGCAACTGTGAAGGGTTAAAAAATGTGACACACAGACATTCACCATACCAGTATAAATGTAAGACATAATGTTATATGCAATAAAAACTATGTGATATATACAAATAGTATAAAGATATATGCATGTATGTTTAAATATTAGTGGAAAATCAGACAATTAAACCATTCTTGATGACTTCTAGAGAAAAAGAGTATAACAGGAAAACGGAGGAGATAGTTTAAGCTCTGGCTTGATAACCTTCTCTAACTGCCTTTTTTTTCCCCAAAAGCATTACTATTATAATACATACTTTTAAAGAAATTAAGAAGCCACAAATGAAATTAAATACACATCATTTTTGTGACTAACATGTGGCTCTCAAACATTTACAGCTGTTTATTAATTTCAATTGATTCATCAGGTTGAATATCTATCTTGGGGAAAAACAGTTTTATTATGTTCTGTATCTTGCTGCAAGGTGTCATGGCTCATCACATAAATTTCAGAATAGACAAAATAATTTGAAAATGGAATCTACCAAAACGTTTTCTGTGTCTCTATACTCAATACTAATATTTTCTTTTCTAATACATTAATCTTCTCAAATTAATCAGCTACTCCTGAGACATCTTTTCTATGGTACATTCAATGCACTTTGATAGAATTCTTACAAAAATAAGGGTTTTTTTGTAAAGGGGAGAAGACCTAGACAAAACCAGGTGGTACTTAGAGCTGAAAATATCATATGAACTCATATTTAGCTTAATATAGATACAGGTAGATATATTTATATACATGGGATAGTATACATACCTATATCTTCTAGCTCTGTCTGCTGAAAAATCCTAGAATCAATAATGTGCTACTAGCAACTAGTATACCCAGCATCAGATCATGATTTATCATAACATTCTCCAACAAAATGAACCATGGCTCCTTGGGAAAGTGGCTGGTGCTAGAACTACGTAGGAAATTCACAAGACAGACCTGGAGTAACTTGCAGTGTGACAAAAGGATGAGGGCGTGTCAAAGAGACACAGAAGCCAAACACTGGTCTCGAGCTCTGGAAGAGCTCACAATGGCCAAAGATAGAACAATTTCAATGTGGGCCACCTTTACTGACTTGTTTCCCAAGAGTAAGCATGGAAAGGGGGGAAAATGTAACTTTACATTAGAGAAACCTGGTAAACACTACCTCAGCCAGATGGTCAAAGTTAACATCAGTGGTAAGTCATGTTGACTGTATATACCCTTGATATATGAGAAAAATAATATGCTACCTTTGTGGTCTTCCTCCCCAAAATCCATAACCCTAGTAAAATCTTGACAAAAATTTCAGACAAACTAAACTGAGGGACATTTTACAATCAATCAGATAAGGTCTCCTCAAAATGACCAAGAATAATCTTAGAAGCTTACAGCCAAGAAGAGCCTAAGGAAATTTGACAACTAAACATGAGCTGTCCTGAAGCAGCAACTACCATGTCCTTGAGAAAGGAATGAGCTCAGCATGTCTAAGTAGCAGAAAGGCCCATGAGGCCAGCCTACTGGGAGCAGGCAGGGAAATAAATGGTCAAGCAGGGGTTAGGGAAGCAAGGCACAGTGGGTCATGCTTGTAGCCCTAGTACTTTGGTGGCCAAGGTGGGAGGATTGCTTGAGCCCAAGAGTTCAAGACGAGTCTGCACAACATAGCAAGACTCCATATCTAAAAAAAAAAAAAAAAAAGCAGCAGCAGCTGGGCATGGTAGCATGTGTCTGTAGTCCCGGCTGCTCAGAAGGCTGAGGTGTGAGGTTAAGGCTAGAATGAGCTATAATCATGCCACTGCACTCCAGTCTGTGACAGAAAGAGACCCATTCTCAAAATAAGATGGGGTCAGGGAGACAGAGTGCTTCTTGACCCTTGGCACATTAGAATCATTTGGGAAGATTTTCAAAAATACCAGTGCCCAGAACCTACACACAAGGGATGGCTCTAACTAGTCTGAATCGAAAACAAATTACAGTTACACACAGCCACATGGCTTAATCTACACAAGTTATTGTGAGGATAAAGATGCAAGAACATAAACTGCAATTCTGTTACATAAAGATCAAAATCAAGAAAAAACAAATGATATACTACTTAAGGGATACATACATGTTAAAATTCCCCCAAAACAAAGGTATTATGAATACACCATTTAAGAAATTTAGCATGGTATTTTTTTTTCTCTTTTGATTTTTTAAAAAATTTAAGTTCTGAGATACATGTGCACAATGTGCAGGTTTGTTACATAGGTATATATGTGCCATGGTGATTTGCTGCACCTATCAACCAGTCATCTAGGTTTTAAGCCCAACATGCATTAGGTATTTGTCCTAATGTGCTCTCTCCCCTTTTCCTCACCTGCTGTGTTGTTCCCTTTCCTGTGTCCTGGTATGTGATGTTCCCCTCCCTATGTCCATGTTTTCTCACTGTTCAGCTCACACTTATCAGTGAGAACATGTGGTGGTTGGTTTTCTGTTCCTGTGTTTGTTGGCTGAGAATGATGTCTTCCAGCTTCCCATGTCTCTGCAAAGGACATAAACTCAACATTTTTTATGGCTGCAGAGTATTCCATGGTGTATATGTGCCACATTTTCCCTGTCCAGTCTATTGTTGATGGGCATTTGGGTTGGTTCCAAGTCTTTGCTATTGTAAATAGTGCTGCAATAAACATATGTGTGCATGTGTCTTTATAGTAGAATGACTTATAATCCTTTGAGTATATACCCAGTAATGGGATTGCTGGGTCAAATGATATTTCTGATTCTAGATCCTTGAGGAATCACCACACTGTCTTCCACAATGTTCGAACTAATTTACATTCCTGCCAACAGTGTAAAAGCATTCCTATTTCTCCACAGACTCACCAGCATTTATTGTTTCCTGTCTTTTTAATAATTGCCATTCTAACAGGTGTGAGATGGTATCTCATTGTGGTTTTGATTTGCATTTCTCTAATGACCAGTGATGTTGAGCTTTTTTTCATATGTTTGTTGACCACATAAATGTTTCCTTTTGCGAGTATCTGTTCATATCCTTTGCCTACTTTTTGATGGGTTTGTTAGCCTTTTCCCTTGTAAATTTAGCACACTTTTTCTAAGAGGGATTCTAAGGGATCTTAAAAGGTAAGTATAAGATTCTTCCTAAACTGGAGGCTGGGAATACAAATGTTCATTTAACATTAATAACTATTCTTTAAACCACAAATATGTATATTATTTCATATCATGGAATACTTCACTATTTAAGAACATTTAAATATTAACCAAAATTTTAGTTCCTCAGTTGTGCAATAATCAGGTGGGTAGGTTATTCTATTGTGCTTTCCACTGAGATGATCCATATATTCAAAGGAACAATTCTAAAGCAATCTAGTGGAAGGTGCCTTGCATGGCAAGGCATCTGGATTACTAAGAACAGTGGAACTATGAGCACTTAGCTTAAAGATTAAGCTACAGAGAAATGTGAGAGGAGTCTTCAAATATAAGAATAACTATTATGTGAAAGAAGAAACCAACTTAGGTTTTGGAACTACAGTACAATTACACCAATGGATTTCTGCAATCAGGAAGCAGACTTCAGCTCAACATAGTAAGAGATCTCTGTAAATGGGATGAGCGGTCAAGATTTGATGAACCTTTTCTTCACTGACCGTTTTTAAATAGAAGCTAGATGGCTATGCAGGATAAATACTGAAAGAAGATTCTGACTTTAGAATAGTCTGGATGATCTTAGTAGTTAGCCTAAGGCATTGCTTATAAATACATGTGTTAAATTGGTTGGTAAAATACCAGTTTCACTCACGATTGCACACAGTGGGCTGCAGTCAGAATCCACACTGGGTTGATGATGGCACCTCCACATTGGTAATCACCTAGAAACCTCAGACCCACATGCCATGGCCAACAGTGGGGGCAGGCTTCTTCCCCTCCTGCTATTCTTCTGGAAAGCCACTGGGAACTAAATGGAGGAATGCCACAGACATCTACAGTAAAGATGAAACCAACAACCCATAAGGTTTCAGTAAGTTGGAACACATTCCTCTAATAGATTACCATAGCTAACAGCAGTGATTCTCAAACACTGGATGGGCTTTATAACAATACTGACTCCCAAAACTCACCAGTGAAAAATCTGATATTAAGAAGCCTGCCCAGGTGACTATGCTAGGCAATCAGAATTTTAGGTACCGGCCTACAGAATTTTATTTATTCATTTAGCAAATATTTATTTAGTGCTTGCTATTTGCTAGGCACTGTTCTAAACATTGATGATATATTACTGGTGGAATGGAACAAATGATAAAAATACTGGACCCTCATAATTATATTCTAGTAGGAAAATTTCAAGTTCGTTATTATAGTACACAAGGTTCTTCACTGTATCTTGTTTTAGTTCTTGTTCTCACTGTATGAATCCACGTATCAGTCCTCAAACATATCACATTTGGGTATCTAAATGCTGTTCTCTTATCAGGAATTGGTAAGACCCACAGGTCAAGTGTTAATCTCTAGGAAGCCTTCTCCAACCCCCTAGCAAGAGGCAGGTATTTTCTCCTCTAATAGCTCCTTGTGTAACTTTCTATTCCAGTACATCAACTTGAACATATTCAACCCAAGCATGTGGAACAATGAGGGATCATAGTATTCACCTAGATGCCATAGAGCATAAGGAAATTAAAAGATGTCAGTGCAAATTTAAGACAAACAGAAAAAACCCTTTGTTTCCTCCCTTTGTCCCACACTGACCCTAGAAGTCATTTTAGATACTAAGTTTGTAAAGAAATAGATGAGGACAAAAGGTTGCTTTATACCCTTTTTTTTCCTAACGTAAAGCGTATTTGTTCTTCCCTCTACTTACAAATCTAACTATAAACCCAAATAGGACTTTGGAAGTTTTATAAACCAAATATAAGGCATATTCTTCTTCACTGTGGTGTTATAACAAATAAAAGATAAGGACTTCCAAAAGAGACGTCTAGTTAATGAATAAAAAAGATTAAACAGATAGTAGTAATATACCATCAACTCACCATGCAGAACAGCTTTTGCAGTAGATATAGGATTGGTTTGGGGAGTTGGCGTTGGTTCAGTTTTGTTTGAAGACTCTAGAAGAAAATAAAAATAACTGAAAATAATTAGAGAAGCTACACTAACTGACCCCACTTGCTTACCCTGGTAAAACATAAAGCCATTCTACTGTAGATCTCACTAGCATCACCATTCATACACTAGATGCCAGATCCCAGAAATGTGATTTTTTGCATATCTCTTAATATCCCTGTTGCATCTGGCTCTTTTAAGCACTTCTTCCTTCCTTGGCTTCCTGATACTAATCTTATGGTTTTCCTTATATATTGATGGTTGTCTGTTTTCATTATGTCTTTTTTTTTTTTTCCAAGATCTCATTGTTTAGCCTCAAAAGAGATTGCTAAGGTAATGTTCATTCCTCTATTTTTATTCATCGACATGTAGATGACTTCCAAATTTCTCCCTTCAATCTAAATCTCCTTCCTGAATCCTAGACTTAAGACTTTTAGATATCCCCACCTGAATTTCCCACAAGCTCATATCTACATATCTTAAATTGTACTAAGTGATTTTAACAGTCAATATGGTCTTGTTCTTACATTTCTCTATCATCTAGTGGCTTCTACCATTCACCTCACCACTCATGCTAGGATCCTGAAAATCATACTTGTGAAGGTTAATACTGAGTGTTGATTGGATTGAAGGATACAAAGTATTAATCCTGGGTGTGTCTGTGTGGGTGTTGCCAAATGAGATTAACATTTGAGTCAGTGAGCTGGGGAAGACAGATCCACCCTTAATCTGGTGGGCACAATCTAATCAGCTTTCAGCTAATATAAAGCAGGCAGAAAACCATAAATTAGACAAGCCTAGCTTCCCAGCCTACATCTTTCTTCCATGCTGGATGCTTCCAGCACTTGAACATCGGACTCCAGGTTCTTCAGTTTCAGGGCTGGGACTGGCTCTCCTTGCTCCTCAGCTTGCAGATAGTCTATTGTGGGACCTTGTGATTGTGTAAGTTAATACTTAATAAACTCCTCTCTCTCACATGCTCTCTCTCTCTCTCTCTATATATATATATATAGAGAGAGAGACTATATATATATATATATATATATATATATATATATATATAGAGAGAGAGAGAGAGAGAGAGAGAGAGAGAGAGACACTATACATGTGCCGTTCTGCAGAATCATGGCATTGTGCTCTCACTAACCTGCTCTTAATGTCTAAATAAATAGTACAAGTCCATCTGTAAACCTGGCCTCTTACCCACACAAACACCTACCTGAAGGACAAATACTAGGTCCCAAAAAAAGTGATTACAGGGCTGGATGTTAATTCTTCATATTCAGTAAATTGTCAGGCCACAACTAAAAGTATATTTGAAGTTTTAAATGTCTTAAAATTAATTGTCAGACTCACATAGAAATTATAGGTTTTGGTTACTTTTCTCGGACACAAATACCAAAATATCAGCAACAAGAAATTAACACAGAAAGAAGGAAGCTTTAAAATTTCTCTTAAATAACTGCCAAAAATGTACTCACTGTTACCATGTTATCCTTTCTCTTGGGACTGCCTTTTCACCTTACATATAGTCTGAAGCAATCTTTACATTTTGCACATTTCCATTAAAAACTTTACTGGTGAATTTGTTGCTGGCTTATGCATTTTAAAGCTAAAGGATGGCATTCTGAGTTTCTAGAGCAAGAAATTCACATTCCCAGTATTATGTTTACCCAAGGAAGCCAGCTGATGTTCCAACTACTCTGACTAGTTGAACACTTTCATATTTAAAGGATGACTGCTACCTACCTGGGTAGGTATTATATTAAATATTATAACCCCTGGGACAACACTTTGTCTATAGCTTGTGCTCTTCTTCAGAATCAGCAAAAATCACAACAGCATCATAAATACAGTTTTTACTAAATTCAACAGTAAAGTCCTCAAATGCCAACTGTACAAATGAAACATAAGGAGAAAAACGTTCAAAGAGGAGAAGAGAGAAGCTTAAAGGATTTTCCTCTGTGTATTTAAAGGCTCCTTGTCACATTCTTATATGCCTTCACATAGAAATGTAAATGCAGTCTCTTTGAAGGGCAATTTGGCAATGACTACCAGGTTTAAATGACCAAACCCTTTGAGCAAGCAAGTCTACTTCTGGGAATTATACATAACTGCATGTGTCCAAAGATGCTGGCAGATATTCCTGGCAACAGTGGCAGATATTCATGACACCACGGCTGGTATGAGCAAAGACTAGAAACTCAGTAAACATCTGTTAATAGGGAGCTAGTTTAACAGGTTCTGACATATCATACAATATTTTATGCAGTTACTAAAAAGATCTCTGTGGGCTCATCTGGAAAGATCTTCAAGATATTTTTCAGTGAACAAGACATTGCCAAGCAGCATAGGTACATGCACACACACACACGCATGCCTGTACATTAGTAAAGCTCAAAGTACCTCCTAAGGACCCTGTAGTAAGTTATCAGTGTTTGCCTCCAGCAGTAGGATGGGAATCTGTTGAGCAGCCTTACTTTTTGTGTGTACACTTTTAAACCGTTGAGTCTTCAAAACCACACACACCCAATTAATTTTCAGAGTAAAAAAAAAAAATGGCAAATGGCAAAAGCTTCTAGTCATAATGGCAATTTAACAACTGAGATGAATTAAGTTCTGCCTAACTAATGTAACTAAATTCTCTATGAAGTAAAGTGATTCCTCAGTTGCCTACCTTTATAACGTATTTCTCTGGAGCATGAATGCACCAATGACACCTTACATTACTGGAATACAAATCAGGATACTTGGCAGAATGAATTGTCACTTCTACCAATACAACCACACTCTCACAACCTAACCCTGTGGAAGCATTGGGGAAATTCAAAGTGAGTGGCCAAAGGCATTTCCTCCTCCTCATCCCCACATCAAGGGAAAATGGCAGGGAAGTAAATACCTGAAACACCTGCTTCTGAGTTCTGTACAGCAGTAAAAGTAAGCTCAAAGCCACTGCCACTGTCTTCTTTGTCAGAAACAAATGTAACCATGGCCTTATTGGTCTCTGTCAGCAATGGTGAGGACACTGTATTTCCATAGACCTTACCTAAAAAGAAAACAAGGAAAGCAAAATAACATTACTAAGAAGCGGTGGAAACTTAACACGTGTTTGTTTTTCATCATCCTCCACAAGCTCTCTGATCTAAACACACTAAGCTGTTTAGTGGTCCTTTAATCATTCCACATTCCCTGCTTCGGTGACTTTGCTATTCCATTTGCCTTCTCACCCCGTCTCACATGTCCAAATTCTACTCACTCTTTAGGGCCTAACTCAAAATTCAGCTCTCCCATAAACTCTACCAGATAACCACTGGAAGTAAGAGCTACCTTTTCTGAATCACCGCAGTACATTCCCTATTCTAACGGCATTCTCTACTTTGTGTTACACCTTTGCTTACCTCAACTACAAACTTATTTGGGCAGAGAGTGCTTTTTCTTGAAAAATGTCCAGTACCTAGTATGATAGCTCATATACAGTTAATTGTTAACAAATGACTGGTTGAAAGAATAATTACTGTGTAAATAGCCTGAGCATAAAATAATTTAGTCAATAAATATTATAACCCCTGGGACAACACTTTGTCTATAGCTTTCTGTCAAATATGTGTGAAGAGATATTCATCCTAACCATTAGCCTTATGGAGACCTAGAGATCAAAGTCTATACCAGCTGTGGAGAGCTTCTATCATGTTTAACATGTAGTATTTCAATGAAATTAGATATGTTGGTTTTGTTTATGTAGCTTAAAGAGGTATTCAATAAAAGAAATTGAATGACATGACATGATCAATTGTGTTATGAGAAAAAAATTATACCAAACAATGTAAAATTCAAAATGTATGTGTAAAAAGACACATGTCACAGTGCTAATAGAGATTATCTCTAGGTGACAGGGTTATGAATGATTTATATTTTATTCCTTTTTCTCATCTGTATTTACCAAATTTGGTAAACATGTACCCATTTTTGTGATTTAAAAATTGCCTTAAAAGGAAGTTTTATGACAACTGTGACATCAATTGCATTCAATACTGTTATTGAACTTGAGAAATAAATGTGGTATCTGGTGTCCAACTTAGAAAAACACTGAAGAGAATGGTCAGCGTGCTGTTCACTGTCCCCACTCTTACCTACCATGCCCTTAACCCTTCTAGAAAGGAACAGTATGTACGATAAGATGATTGCCCTTGGTACAGAAATCTTATTTTTTAATTTTTATTTTCTTGAGTAAAGTAAAAGCAAGTTTATTTGGAAAATAAAGAAATAAAAAATGGCTACTCCATAGACAGATGCCAGAAATTTTATTTTAGATCTTTTAGTTTCTTTTTGGTCTTTTAGATACTCTAAAATGATAAATAAAGACAAATGTAACATACTTACTAATAAGCACTCCATTGCTTGATTGTAAAGATACATAGTCATGATCACATCCAACTTGCTTTTCCGTGTCTAAACTTGTAAATTTTAGCAGGATAATTTTATCTTCTGGTATCAGTATTTTCCAAATATATAAGCTGGGGTAGGGTAAGGTGAAAAAAATATAATAAATGGCAGAGTCAAATTTGATAAATAAAATCTAATACCTGTGGTTTTAGCTCATAACTCAACAAAAATACAATTTTATAGAATATTAGAAGATGAAAGGTAATGGAACATTTTATGTGAGAAAAATTTGTTTGTGCTCAAATTGCTCACATTTATCTGACAAATAGATGGGTGTTAATTGGAGAATGACCAGAAACCACCCCTTAAATTTCATTTAGTTATAAAATACTAGAATTTTGATCTATAAATGGAAGAAACCCAAAATTCAGCTGAGTTATTAGCCTAATTAAAATTCATATTTATCCAGAGCTTGAATTATGAATTATGATTCTTATGAATTATGAATTGACCATGCAGTATATGCTAACCTTAAACAGCCATGAAGTCCAAAGTCATCCTAAGTCATAGTCCCTGGGTTACAATGTCATCTCTTTAACTCCCAGTAAGGTCAGCTGTGACTTTTCACTAACATTTTTAAAAGCATATTGAGCTCTTGCTAGTGCTGTTCCTACATGTCAGGGCTCAGTGGATGGAGGAGGAACAGTTGAAAAGCAGAGCCCAGTGCCCAGTGGTCAGCTCCCTTGGAAGTCCTGCTGAAGCAATTTTTAGGTCTTTAAGAGAGAGGTGAGATCCAAGATGGCCGAATAAGAACAGCTCCGGATTGTAGTTCCCAGTGAAAACATAGAAGGTGAGTGATCATCGCATTTCCAAACGAATTTTTACTGCCCACAGATCAGGAGATTCCCAGGCGGAAAAGCACCATGAGTCTCCAGCATGGCTGTTTCAGCCAGTGCAGCTGGTCTCTGCACAAAAACTCACACAAATCCGGGTGCTGTTTCAAGTAGCGACTGGAATGCCTGGGAGACAGAGTCACCCATTCAACTGAAAAAAAAGGGGGCTGAAACAGGGAGTCAGGTGATCTGGCTCAGCTGATCCCACCCCTGTGAAGACCAGCAATATGAAATGCTCTGGATTGAGAGTTTCACAGCAAGCACAGCTGAACCCGGGACAGTCCAGCTCTGTGGGAGGAAGGGTGTCCACCATTACCGAGACAGTTCACCATTACTGAGGCAGTCCGCCATTACTGAGGCAGTTCTAACTATACTCCTGTAAACAAAAGTGCAAGGAGGTTCATACAGCAGCTGGGCAGAGCTGACAACAGCTCAGAAATGCCTCTGCTGGCAGACTGTGACTAGACTACCTCCTCGCTGGGCAGGGCATCTCTGAAAAAAGGCAGCAGAATGACAAGAACTTATAAATAAAGCCCTACCTTCCTAGGACAGAACACCTAGGGAAAAAAGGCAGTTATGAGTTCCACTGTAGCAGACTTAAACGTACCTGCCCAGCAACTCTGAACAGAACAATGGAGCTCACAGTTCAGCACTTGACGGACAGACTGTCTCCTTAAGCAGCTCGCTGACCCCCATATAACCAAAGAGACACCTCATAAAGGAGAGCTCAGGCTGACATCTGTCTCCTTAAGCAGCTCCCTGACTCCCACGTAACCAAAGAGACACCTCATAAATGAGAGCTCAGGCTGACATCTGGGACAAATATAACAGAAGAAGAAACTGGCAGTAAGTAACCCTTACTGTTCTGCAGCCACTGCAGATAATTCCTAGACAAGCAGGGTCTGGAGTGGACCTCCAGAAGTTCTACAGCAGGGAGGTCTGACTGTTAGAATGAAAACTAAGAAACAGAAAGAAATAATTTCATCAGCAACAAAGAGGACATCCACTCAGAGACTCCATCTGAAAGTCACCAACCACAAAGACCACAGGTAGATAAATCCACAAAGATGGGAAGAAACCAGTGCAAAAAGGATGAAAATACCTAAAACCAGAATGCCTCTCTTCCTCCAAGGGATTAAAACTCCTCACCAGCAAGGGAACAAGGCTGAAGGGAGAATTAGTCTGATGAATTAACAGAAACAGGCTTCAGAAGGTAGGTAATAACAAACTTCTCTGAGCTAAAAGATAATGTTCTAACCCAATGCAAAGAAACTAATAACCTTGAAAAAAGGTTTGATGAAATGCTAAGGAGAATAAACAGCTTAGAGAGAAATATAAATGAATTGATGGAGCTGAAAAACACAATATGAGAACTTTGCAAAGCAGACACAAGTTTCAATAGCCAAATTGACCAAGCAGAAGAAAGGATATCAGAGATTGAAGATCAGCTCAATGAAATAAAATGAGAAGGCAAGATTAGAGAAAAAAAGAGTAAAAAGAAATAAACAAAGCCTCCAAGAAATATGGGATTATGTGAAAAGATCTAATCTATGTTTGATAGGTGTACCTGAATGTGATAGAGAGAATGAATACAAGCTGGAAAATACTGTTCAGGATATTATCCAGGAGAACTTCTCCAGCCTAGCAAGGCAGGCCAACATTCAAGTCCAGAAAATACAGAAAACACCACAAAGATGCTCCTCAAGAAGAGCATCTGCAAGGCACATAATTGTCGGATTCACCAGGGTTGAAATGAAGAAAAAAATGCCAAGCGCAGCCAGAGAGAAAGGTCGGGTTACCCACAAAGGGAAGCCCATCAGACTCACAGTGGGTCTCTCTGCAGAAACACTACAAGCCAGAAGAGAGTGGGGACCAATATTCAACATCCTTAAAGGAAAGAACTTTCAACCTAGATTTTCATATCCCGCCAAGCTAAGCTTCATAGGCGAAGGAAAAATAAAATCCTTTATGGACAAGCAATTGCTGAGAGATTTCATCACCACCAGGCCTGCCTTACAAGAGCTCCTGAAAGCAACAATAGAAAGGAATAATCAGTACCAGCCACTACAAAGATGTACCAAATGGTAAAGAGCACTGATACAATGAAGAAACTGCATCAACTAATGGGCAAAACAACCAGCTAGCATCAAAATGGCAGGCTCAAATTCACACATAACAATGTTAACCTTAAGTGTAATTGGGCTAAATGCCCCATTCAAAACACAGACTGGCAAACAAAGTGAAAACCCACTGGTGTGCTGTATCCAGGAAACCCATCTCACATGCAAGGATACACATAGGCTCAAAATAAAGGAATGGAGGAAGATCTACCAAGCAAATGGAGAGAAAAAAAAAAAAAAAAAAAAAAGCAGGAGTTGCAATCCTAATCTCCGATAAAATAGACTCTAAACAAACAAAGATCAAAAGAGACAAAGAAGGGCATTACATAATGGTAAAAGGATCAATGCGACAAGAAGAACTAACAATCCTAAATATGTACATGCCCAATACAGGAGCACCCAGATACATAAAGCAAGTTCTTAATGACCTACAAAGAGACTTAGACTCCCACACAATAATAATGGGAGACTTTAACACTCCACTGTCAGTAAATACTAGATCAACAAGTCAGAAAATTAACAAGGACATGCAGGACTAGAACTCAGACCTGGAGCAAGAAAACCTAATAGACATTTACGGAACTCTCCATGGCAAATCAACAGAATATACATTCTTCTCGGCACCACATCGCACCTATTCTAAAATTGACCACATAATTGGAAGTAAATCACTCCTCAGCAAATGCAAAAGAATGGAAATCATAACAATCAGTCTCTCAGACCACTGTGCAATCAAATTAGAACTCGATTCAGAAACTAACTCAGAACTGCACAACTTCATGGAAACTGAACAATTGGCTCTTGAATGTTGACTGGATAAACAATGAAATGAAAGCAGAAATAAAGATGTTCTCAAAACCAGCGAAATCGAAGACACAACATAACAGAATCTCTGGGACACATTTAAAGCAGTGTCTAGAGGAAAATTTATACCAATAAATGCCAACGTGAGAAGCAAGGAAAGATCTAAAACTGACACCCTATCTTCAAAATTGAAAGAGCTAGGGGAGCAAGATCAAACAAATTCAAAAGTTAACAGAAGACAAGAAATAACTAAGATCAGAGCAGAACTGAAGGAGATAGAAACACAAAAAACTCTTCAAAAAATCAGTAAATCCAGGAGCTGGTTTTTTGAAAAGATCCACAAAATAGACCACTAGCCAGATTAATAAAAAAGACAAGAGAGTAATCAAATAGATGCAATAAAAAACAATAAAGGGGATATCACCACTGATTCCACAGAAATACAAACCACCATCAGAGATTACTACTAACAATTTTATCCACATAAACCAGTAAACCTTGAAGAAATGGATAAATTCCTGGACACTTGCCTCCTCCCAATCCTAAACCAGGAAGAAGTCGAAACCCTGAGTAGACCAATAACAAGGTCTGAAGTTGAGGCAGCAATTAAGAGCTTACCAACCAAAAAAAGCCCTGGTCCCAATGGGTTCACAGCCAAATTCTGCCAGACATGAAAAGAGGAGCTGAGACCACTCCTTCTGAAATTATTCCAAACAATCCAAAAAGAGGGAGTCCTTCCCAAATCATTTTATGAGACCAGCATCATCCTGATACCAAAACCCAGCAGAGACTAAAGAAAAAAAGAAAACTTCAGGCCAATATTCATGGTGAACATAGATGCAAAAATTTTCAATAAAATACTGGCAACCCTATGGTAACAGCACATCAAAAAACGTATCCATCACGATCAAGTAGGCTTCATCCTGGGGATGCAAGGCTGGTTCAACATGCACAAGTCTATAAACGTAATTCACCACATAAACAGAACCAAAGACAAAAACCACATGATTATCTCAATTGATGCAGAGAAGGTCTTTGACAAAATTCAACAGCCCTTTATGCTAAAAACTCTCAATAAATTATGTATCAGTGGAACATATCTCAAAATAATAAAAGCTATTTACAACAAGGTCACAGCCAATATCATACTGAATGGGCAAAAACTAGAAGCATTCCCTTTGAAATCTGGCACGAGGATGCTATCTCTCACCACTCCTATTCAATATAGTATTGGAAGTTCTAGCCAGAGCAATCAGGCAAGAAAAATAAATAAAGGGCATTCAATTAGGAAAGGAGGAAGTCAAATTGTCTCTA